ATGACTCGGGTTATGTGCACGGCTGAATAATAGAATAGAACATTTCGCCGCGTTGAAATATAATTTATTTTCTAAACTCCACTCTACGACTTTCGTTACATCCTGCTGAAGCATGTCATGATCCGCCCGCTGCTTTATTTTTAAAACTAATTTTAGGTCATCAGCAAATAACAAGGGTGTAGACTTATTGACTACTTCAGGCAAATCGTTGATTGTCAGAATAAAGAGAAAAGGCCCTAAATTACTGCCCTGCGTGACACCTGATCTTGTAAAGTAGGGTTCGGAAAGTCGTCCGCTGCAGTCAACATACTGACATCGGTCTCGTAAATAACAGGCGAAAAATGATAGCGTATGCGGTGTGCATCCGACGGTAGCTAACTTCGCTAGTAGGACGTCATTGTCTACTGTGTCAAATGCCTTTTTAAAATCAAAATAGGCAACATCCACTTATTGGCCCGCATCCACTGTTGGAACTATGTGTGTCATTAGCTCGAGCAAGTTCCCCGTTGTCCCTCGCCCGGGACGGAAGCCGTGCTGTGCGTCGGACAACAGACCACTTATTTGTGGGTACAAACTACTGTGAATGGTCGACTCAAAAACTTCAGCTGGAGTGCATAATACCGCCACGGGTCTATAATCACTGGGGGCTGAACCTCTGCTACCTTTCGGCACAGGAACTACCCGAGTGAGTTTCCAACGATCAGGAAACTTTGCAGCCTTAATATAAACATTGAATATGTGTAGCAACGGCTTTACTAATACTGCACGACAGTCCCTAAAAATAAACGCCGCAATACCATCGGGCCCCGCCAAAGACTTCGGCGGTAAACGCGCGAGATGCGCCCACGCACCCGGTGCCGCACCCGTCGCCGCGCTTATGCTTGCCGCCGCCGCGCTCAGCTTAGGAGGCGTCGGATTGTAAACTGACTGTAAGAACCGAGCGAACTTATTGGCACATTCTTGTTCTGATAGTACCCGTCCGTCATTGATTAACCTTCGATGATTCGAATCGCCGTTCCTAGATCTTATGTACCCAAAAAACGCTCGCGGATCCTTTGCCAAATGTCCCTGCACGCAGTAGCGGTACTGGTCATGTGCTCGTGCAGTCTCGGCTTTAACTCTTGCCCTACATCGAGAGAACTCCTCGTAATCATTGCGTGCTTTGCTAGATTTATATTTTTTATGTAATTTATATTTCAGCTTTATATCCTTAATTATTTCAGGCGTGTACCAAACCGGATAAGTATATCTCCTATTGACTGAGTTTATATATTTTTTTGGGGGAACACACTTGTCAAAAATATCATATATCTTATCATAAAATAAATTTAGAACGTCGTCCGGGTCTTGTATATAGTATATCTCATTCCAGTCTATTTTTGTAAATAAATTGTATAACTGAATAAAGTCGGCTTTATTAAAATTCCATAATTTCCGAGTTATCGGGGATCGTGAGCACGAGTATCGTATACACGGCGATCCAGAAGGTATAGTGGTTGCGGGGGGAAGCTGCGGCGCACGTGCGCCGAGCTCGATGCGCACGGCAAGCGGTGGATGGTACGCGTCCACGGGAGCAGGCCCTCGTCCGCCGCACTTACCGAGACGCCGCCGCTACTGCACAGCACGAGGTCCAACTGCCTATTGTTACAATTAGGTACCACATTACACTGAGTGAATTCACAGAAGGCCATGAAATATTCGTAATGATTAGATATATTATTATTACAAGAGTACATATTGAAGTCCCCTAATATAACTAAATTAGTTTTATATTTTACACATAGTTTTTCTAATATGCTAAACATTAACATATATTCGTTCTTGTCAGCCTGCGGCGGTATATACACGGCACAACAAGTAAATAAAAATGGTTCTGAATATAAACAGCAGCATAAATAAGTTCAAACTTTTGACTGTCAATATTAAAATCACCTGACACAGTCACTCGTCGCAACTCGAACCGCTGTGTGGCCACTAAAAGTACGCCTCCCTGTTTGCGCCCATCTGCCCGGTCACATCGTAATATTTGGTATCCGGGGAGCACGAATTCTGAGTTTTGAATCGCTTCATTTAAGCCAGTTTCAGTAATAGCGAATATATCAGATCGTGATGATTCTAATAATGATAAAAATTGTGTGGTCTTTGTCCGCAGTCCTCTGACATTTTAGTAAAAAACGTTAAAATGTCTACTCGGTTTCCGATTTGTTTGTTTTGGTTGAGCGGCGAAACCAAATCCATTGATCTCCAACTTAACGTTTAGGTTCAGTGTGCCTCTAACCATTCGGTGATCGCTGCCAATTTTCACCCTTGCGATCACTGAGACATCACTGAACAGTTGATTGTCTTGTCGTCATAATGAAGTCAATCTCATTTTTTGTCGAACCGTCGGGGCTCGACCAGGTCCACTTTCTGTGGGGCCGCTTCTGGTAGAAAGAATTCATCATAAAAAGTCCCTCTTTTTTCCATGAAGCCGGCCAGCTGCTGGGCCCTTGGGTTCCGTTGCCCCATCCCTAATTTCCCTACCTTCAGCTCACCGTTCTTTCTTGTGCCCAGTTTTGCGTTGAAGTCTCCCATTAACACCGTATAGTGAGTTTTGGAGAAATGCATGTCTCATACATTTCCTCCACCTCCTCATTGGGATGTTCCGACATTGGCGCGTAAACCTGTATGACCTTCAGCAAATACCGTTTGGTGATTCTGAGTATAAGGTACGCAACCCTCGTCGATACACTCCCAATCTTTAAAACGTTGACTAGACTGACTTTTAACGAGAGACTTGTGGACGATAAATCCAACACCTTGGGAGATGGTCGCCCTCCCGGTGATAGAACAAGTTGCCGGATTCGAGAATCACCGTGTCCTCCCCCTCTCTTCGGACCTCGGATAATCCTATAATATTCCAGCGCAACTTGTCTATCTTTTCTTCCAGCTCCAGAATCTTCTCGTCAGTCCTCAGAGTGCGTGCGTTAAATGTTGCCAGGTCGAGTCGTCGTAGGTGGCAACCGAACCTCCACCGGAGATTCTTAGCACCCCCTGCTCTACTGTTACCATGGTCGCCACCGTAGCCGGGAATAGCGGGGCCGCCGAGGACTGGGGGCAGTCTATTTGTATAATTCTTCATGGGGGGTATATTGCCATAGTTGCCACGCTTGGCGAGCGGGTTGGCAACCGTAGTTTTTTTTGTTGTGCAGTTGCTGTTATCAGGAAGATGCTGCTGCCCATCTCCTGCCTGTTTCCCTCTATCGCCTTTTACGACACCCACGGGAAAATATGGGGTAGTGGATATTATTAACCGCCACTACAAGGCAATGCTTTTGCATAGCTTGGCCCAATAATCATTGGCACAGTTTCACGTTACTCTCATGCTATATGCATGCTATATGCTACATGCACGAGTGCCCGTTTTTGCAATAAGATGGCATGGATTTGACTGTTCAATTGCATCCCTAGAAATGTACGCAGCGCTCCGTTTCTCTTTATTTGTTGGTATGAGGATTCTTACAGTATTATTAATTTGACAAGTTTAGAGTAAAGTTGGTTGGCTAAACTTTGCAATCGCATTTGGTATCTGACTTGATAATAATATTCTTATTATTTGTACATTTAAGAGTGGGATGCGGTTTAAGCATTATAACAAAAAAAATTTGTATAGGGTGCCGAGACACGGAATGCACGAGTAGGCTTGTGGTTGAGGAATCATTTTTTATAAGTTCATTTGATTTTCTATAATAACGATTACACATTTTCTCCCTTATCACCAAAGATCACCTTGGCAAAGGTTTTCTATTTAACAATAGTCAACATAACGGATGGAATTCATATTTGGATATGAATTTGACTCATATTATGATAAAATTAGATTTAAACACAAAAAAATGAATTAAAAGTATAATTTAATATGTAAAATTTAAAAAACACCAAGTTACTAATCAAAAACTTTAATGCATAGTACTTTAATGCAAAATGCAATATTTGATAGTATGTGAGCTATGGTCTCTTAGATTCATTATCTAGCGCAGGGGTCGCCAAATGGCGGACCGTGGTCCGCATCCGGACCGCCGACCCATTTTGTGCGGACCCGCGAGAACACAGTAACTTACACTAAAGACTACTTCTGATATAAATAACTTCCTTGGCCCCAAAAAGATTGACGCGAGCTGTACGTAATTTAATAAAAATGTATCCCCGGCATTATCTTTGTTGACGTCAATTTGAAAACGGCCGGGCGAAGTAACGAGCGAGCGAGAAAGAGTTCGCGGATTGCGGCAAGTGTCGCGAGGGCAGGGTAATTCATCACGTGATCGCTCTGCCAGCCGCCGGGAGGTCAGTGTTTTGTTTTAATTTCGAGCGAAGGACGCCGCACGGCGCGCTGAAATAAATATAACGTTTGCTTGTTTACTTTACGAGTATAAGTACCTACCTGTTTACAATAGCGAGTTTTGGCTGTTTATAGCGAGTTTTGACTATGGAACCGAAAAAAAGAAAAGTTGAAGATGAAAATAGACTGTTTTTGCCGGAATGGACCGATTTATATTATTTTACGCTGCCAAATCGTGCTGGAGCGTTACCAATGTGCTTGATTTGTAACCAAACAGTGGCGTTAATTAAAAGCTCGAATATAAAACGACATTATGATACCAAACACAAATCATTTGCTGGAAACTTTCCACTTGGTAGTAATCAGCGTAAGTCTAAAATTGCAAGTTTACTATCAAGTTACTCGTCTTCGACCCAGATCATAAGTCGCTCAATGACTGAGCAGGAAAAATGTGGTGAGGCTTCTTTACGTATTTCTTGGACTCTGGCTAAGCATATGAAACCATTTACTGATGCTGACGTAGTTAAAGAATGCTTTCTTGAGGCGGGTAATGCTTTATTTGAGAACAAAAAGGATGTTGTTGAGACGATACGACGGATCCCGTTATCTGCTTCTACTAGCACTAGAAATACACACGTTTTGGCAGAAGAAAATCATTTTGATTTGAAACGGCAGTTAAATAATGCAAACTGATGAATCATGCGATGTCACTGATACGGCACAGTTAATTATTTTTGTACGCTACCTGGACAAAACGGGAGAAACTTTTGTTGAGGAGATATTGGCTCTTTTGTCGCTCTTAGGAAGAACCCGAGGAGAAGACATGATCAAACCAGTGATGGATTATTTTGAAAAAGATGAGTTAGACTTGAAGAAGCTCTTATCGGTAACTACTGACGGTGCGCCAGCTATGGTTGGGAGTAAAAAAGGACTAGTTCACCTGTTGAGAAGCAATGAGAGATGTAACGAAAATTTGATTTCCTACCATTGTATTATTCATCAAACTGTGCTTTACTGCAAACTCAATCATAATTTTGAGCGTATTATGCAAGAAGTGATGAAAATAGTAAATTTTCTTCGTGCTAAATCATCATTGCAACACCGTGAATTGAAATCATTTCTTGAAGAAGTTGAGGCACAATATGACGATCTACTGTTGCATAATAATGTGAGATGGTTAAGTAAAGGTTGCGTTTTAGAAAGATTCTTCAGCATTTTAGAACACTTGAAGACATATCTTTTTAACAGTGATCAGACTTCAGCAAACGCTTACTTAAGTTTTCTAAACGAAAAAGAAAATGTTGCTGTCATTGCTTTCTTAACTGATACTTTTAAACATATCAATGACCTGAACCTTAAACTTTAAGGCAAGGGAAAGCTGATATGCGAGCTCATGTCAGACGTCAAAAGTTTTTCTCGAAAACTTGATCTCTTTATTAATGATCTTGGAAATGAATGCCTACACTTCCCCAATTTAAATAAAATAATCAGCAGTGACAACGAGACTGACGTCGGCCGATTCAAGACGTTCATTACGGATCTTAAATCGGAATTTCAAAAAAAGGTTTGCAGATTTTAAGAAAATTGAGAATGTTGTAGAAATCCTCAGCAGCATTTACTTTCTGCATCCTGATGGTGAATGGAGCAATGAAGCTGCAATTGTTTTCGGAAGTGATAAAGCTACTCTGCAGATGGAAATGATCGATTTCCAAGAAAACACAGTTTTAAAACACAAACAATCGGAAGTTTCCATTGAAGAGTTCTGAATAAAATTTGTGTGTGGTAATAAATATCCAGAATTACAAAAATTAGCTTTGAAACTTCTTACTTTGTTTGGATCGACATATATTTGTGAAGCAGCATTTTCGAAGATGAAGTTCATTAAGAATAAATTTCGATCTCGACTTACTACTGAACATCTCCAGGATTTAATGTCAATAGCTTGCACCAATTTTACTCCAAACTTCAGACAGATAATTCGCAACAAAAAATGTAATTTTTCGCATTGATACCTATGTAACCAAATACCTTTGTTATTTCCTTAATTACGTTTGTTTAATAAATATTCTTTCTTATAAATAAAATATGCGGACCACGATGGTCATTTCATTTCTTAAAACGGACCCCGAGCGAAACTAATTGGAGACCACTGATCTAGCGTATGTCAACTATATAGGTCAACTAGCACTGGAGGTAAGCAGTAGCAATAGTAGAATTATTATAACAGTTACTCATGATTGGCCCTGATCTTGGTATTACTATTTGCTTTGTATTGACTGTGAAAACGTTGAATTAATACAACCAAAAGTTCAATTTCCTTTTTTATTGCTTATTCGGGTTCCATATTGTAATCGGATCATGAGCATTTCACTTCTAAAGAACCAGATTCATATTTGCCGCCTGAAGTATGATCTAGAAATGAAAATTTGTGGTATATGTGTAATCTACAGTTATGTATGTTAACATTTAAAGACCTTTCTAATTATTTCTATTCTTGCGCTCGTTTTTCTTGCTATTTTTTATAGATAACACTTTGCTTAAATCGTAGTCACACGGTAATTGCTTAACAAGGAGACAATAATTGATATTTTCAAGCCACTTGCAAATTCTGGCAAATCTTACTCGTAAAGCTGTTTAAGAGCGAGTTTGCACTCTGTAAAACAGTGCTCCTTTCAATAAAGTTTTTTGTTCTAGGAACTTCACTAACTGTAATATAAGGTATTTCTGATATAAGCATAGACAGATACTGGTATCCCCATCATCAATAAAATGTGAATAAAAGAGTCCGTGATCTGACAAAAACCTTTTACCTCTTGAACCCACAAAATTTCTTGCATGACATATGATCTGGTGGCCAATTTTTTGTTTTATGATCGGGAACATGTGACAGAATAGTAATTTTTTATCCTACAGTACAAAACTTATTTACTGTGCTGGACTCCAATTATTTCAGCATCAGAGGAAGCATCATAGCTGGTGCCGTATGAACGTTTACTCAACACGCGTCTGCAATTACGGCTATTATAGGTATTCCTTGAGATGACATATTTCCGATGAGTTTTACATGCTCCACCTCTTCTTTCCTAGCCTCAACCCTACAATGCTTCCCCGTTTGTTCCCACAATTGGCAAAAAATAGCAAGATGTACGGTGGACTGTCTCCATCTTCAGGTAAAATGATAAATATGATTCTCTAAATGTTTTCGTTTTCTTTTATTTTCTAAAAATAGCTTGGTTTAATTTCCTATTGAGTGTGAATCATAATTTGTTGTCACTCTTAAATAAATATTGTCGGTCATCAAAAGTAAAAATATAATATATTTTACTTGCTAAAAGGGACTAATACTAGTCGATAGTATTAGTCTCTTTTAGCAAGTAAAATGAAGTCATAAGCTCATAAGAGATAGTCACCTCTCTCTTAAACGCCTATCGGCTGTCTTATTTAAATTGATCCAAATGCGGAGTTTTATAGTACTTTTAAAATATTTATAGAAAAATAATCAAACTCTTTTATTTTTTAATTTTAAAGGGTAAAGGTTAAAAAAACTGTTCTTCTAACATATGAAGCAGTTATTGTATTAAATTCAGTACTATAAATTTGATAAAAATAATAGTTTTATCCACAGTATAATCAAAAAAATGTACATGGTTTGAATTTTTAATTTCTTATGTATAGAACCTAAATCAAAATATCTTTTCTAGTAAAAATTTTGTTTGGGGTCTGTCAAATTGATTGCATTTGTTTTTTTGTCAGAGGTTTCAGATATTTTAAGTTTTGAAATTGACGCTAAATAGTCCAGGATCCATCGCCCATTTTTGCACGTGATTACTATCAAGCTAATTTTCCGTGAAGAGCTTAATTTTGATGAGACGCCCAATAATTTCCTGTACGAAACTCTCGATTGTGTTAGCTAACAGAAGTAGCAAGGATAAAATATGTTGATTTGATGTTTAGGTAGTTTAGTTATTCAGTTAGTAATGAATATTTATTACTAACTGAATTTTTTTTGTTAATGTTATTTATATAATTTAACAGACATATTGTCCTACAAATTGCGTGGTACATTATCCCGGTCCTACGCTATGAAAAAAATGGTCTTGTGGTATTAACAACTTCTGAGCGTTTTTCATAGCGTAGGACCGTGATAACGTACCACGCAATTTGTAGGACAATATGTCTGTTAAATTATATAAATATTAATGAAAAACGCTCAGAAGTTGTTAATACCACAAGACCATTTTTTTCATAGCGTAGGACCGGGGTAACGTACCACGCAATTTGTAGGACAATATGTCTGTTAAATTATATAAATATTAACTAAGTAAAAAAAATCAGCTGGTTAGTAATCATTTATGATGACCTCGTTATCGATACATATTGGATAGAGGGGACCCTTTGATCAAACCATAGATTTTGTAGGACAAATATTTTTTCGAATAATTTAGATAATTATTTTGAGATTTAACAAAAATAAATTCAGTTAGTAATAAATATTTGAGAATCATCAAATCAACATATTTTATCCTTGCTACTTCTGTTAGCTACCACAATCGAGAGTTACGTACAGGAAATTATTGGGCGTCTCATCAAAATAAAGCTACTCACGGAAAATTTACTTGATAGTAATCACGTGCAAAAATGGGCGATGAATCCTGGACTAAAAAGGAAGAAGTTTAGTTGTCTTGATAGCAACCACAAATAATACTGCATTAATATAAAAAAGTCTCCTAGTCTATTTATAACATAAAAATTCCTAAAGCTATGAGTAATTAACATTTGTGTTAGATAAGCAATTGATGCACATTCAAATGTTTAAAAAGTACACTTTTATTAGCGATGTTCATGGAAGCACAAGCTGGCTGGCTCATTGCATAGTTACCGAGGCTTCGCGGTAGTCTGTGAACAGCGTTGACGTTTATTACGACATCTACTGGTCTGATCACCACCCGTTGGTGATAAATGTAAATATTAATACAATAAGGTTAATTGTATCTAACTAATAAGGTGTTATGGGGCGAGATGGATCAGCGTCAAATTGAGTCTTACCGTAAGAGATGTACTGAGATATTAAGAGATATTGATTTTCCTGGGTAGTACATGTATACGTTGCGATCAAATATGTAATAACCTTGACTACAGAATAATTATTGATAATCTTTATAATACAATTGTAAACACGCTTAAGAACGCTGCTGAGCTTAGTTGTATTGAATATAGAAGTAAAAAGAAAGGGCGTAACATTGCGGGTTGGAATAAGTCTGTGAAGGATGCTCACGAGACAGCGAGACGGGCATTCCTCAACTTGGTGTGGCATGGCCGACCAAGAGTTGGACGTGTGTAACAGGATATGTGTATATCGCAAAAAGTGTTCAAGTCTTAATTAAGGGCATATCAAGATAACCAAGACCAAATAAAAATGGACATTATAACTTCACAACATAATTAAAAAAATATTCAAAATTTTGGTAACTCTCGAAAAGACTGGGTCCTAAGTCTGCTGTCTCCGTAAGCGTGAGTGGGATTAGTGAAACGACGGAAATAGCAAATCTTTAGCCTGGTCTGAAACCAACAAATAATAATAGTTTCTTTTACCATATAATTATTTTAATTATTAGGAAATTTATACTTCTTTTTATTCGTACTTATAATCTTTCTCGATGCATGTGGTGTTTACCTTAAACGATTTTTACACTTAGCTACGTAAGTTAGTTCTTAAGCCATTTTGTTAAATACAATGTAATCAAACATTGGTAAACCTTAATAAATAAATAAAAACAAATCTTTTTAAAAGTCACTTTAAAGTTGAATCGATATTGCAGCGAAGAGTAAAAGCGGAGGCGGGCGGTGGTGGGGTGGTTAGGACTGGTGAACCTGTCTGTATTACAGCTAAGGATCTTAGGTTGGTCCTGAAGAATATGACTGGAGGAAAATTACCAGGGTACGATGGTCTCAGTGTCGAGCACCTTCACAATACAGGGCTGCATCTCCCTAGGGTCCTGGCAATGTTTTATACTTTTTGTATTAAGCACTCCTATTTACCTGCCGAACTAGTAAGAACTATTATAGTGAAAGTCCTACAGTGAAAAACAAGACTGGGGATATATCTGATAAGGTTAATTACAGGCCTATATTCTTAGCAACTGTATTGGCAATGGTACTTGACGGTTTGCTGGAACGACGACTTAACAACTATATACAACTAAACGATGCTTAATTTGGTTTTAGACCAGGCCTTTTTAGAGAGTGCTATAATGTCGCTGAAGCATACTGTTAAATATTACACCCAGAGACAAACACCAGTGTATGCTACATTTATAGATCTATCCAAGGCATTTGACCTGGTTAATTATGACGTACTATGGACAA